ATCACCCATCTTTGTCCCAGTCTTCCCCCTCCCCCATACCCCCGCCCCCGCCAGGCTCCTTGTCCAGTCTCTGTCTCACCATCCCCACTTGCTCCAGTTCCTATTCTCGCCCCAGTAATTAAACCTGGACTCTGAACTAGCCCCTCATCTCATGGGTTGACCCCTCAACATGAGTTAAGGAGTACTGGCAGATCAGTGAAGAAGAAACCTGCGGTATTTCCACTTGTTCTTTAGCTAAGCAAAAAAATCCAGTGTCCCAGGCAGTCAAGGCAGCACTTTCACCAACACTAAATCTCAACTCCTCAGAAAGGATGGCGGTGTTGCAGCATTGTGAAGTATACCAGTGAGTTGTAGCGAGGGCCCCGCCTGGTGGTTAGCAAGTGAGGCAGATGACATTAATGGTGCACAGCCGGGGTGAAAGTAAGTTGAGTGACTTACCGGTATGCTGGGGCCAGCTCTGGCCCCTGGAAGGGGCGGGGTGGAGGGGGTCAGAGCCAGCCCCAGCCCACCATGTAAGGTAAGTGCCCTCCTCTCGCTGGGATAGCAGCAGCAGCCCGGGGCTCCGGGGGCTATTTAAAGGGCCCAGGGCTCCCCTCTTCTACTGCCCTGCCCCTTTAAATAGCTGCCGGAGCCCTGGGGAAGTGGGGTGGGGGTCCAGCAGCTATTTAAAGGACTGGGGCGGCAGAGGCAGTTGGAGCCCCCGCTACCCCAGGGCTCCAGGGGCTATTTAAAGGACCCGCGGCTCCCCTGCTTCTACCACCCCGGTTCTTTAAATAGCCCCAGAGCCCTGGAGTAGTGGTGGTGGGGCTCCGACGGCTATTTAAAGGGCTGGGGTGGTAGAAGCAGGGGAGCCCCGGGCTCTTTAAATAGCTGCCGGCGCCCTGCAGCCGCTACCCCAGGACTCCAGCAGCGGGGCTCTGGAGGCAATTTAAAGGGCCTGGGGCTCCAGCTTTAAATTGCCCCCTGGGGAAGCCAGGCTGCCCCAGTACGGTGCACCGGCTCTTGCCAGTACACCGTACCAGGGCGTACTGGCTTAGTTTCACCTCTGTGCACAGCCAACATGGGATGGGACGAGATGGGCTGAATTACAGTGTGTGCATATACAGATACACATGGTGGTATGTGACTGGTTAGCTATAATTGAATTTTGTATAATTTCTCATTGGCAAAATGTATTCAATAACTGCACTCATGAAATGTAAAGAGCTCAGTGACTGCAGGGCACCAAAGACATTTCCCAAAGTATTTGAATGGGAAATAGCGAGACAGTTCTCCGTAGGCACAAGTTCTTAGGGGCATTTTGTCAAAACACATTTCATTGCTGCTGCAGGACAACTGCTAATAGAGAATGTTCTTATTAATGTACTTATTATGCTTCATGCAGTACCATGTATTTATTATGGGCCCAATCCTGAATGTTGTGAGTGACTGTTTTCAGGGAATTAGAATGGAATAGAATAGAATGGAAACTATTATCATTTCACATTTACTACAGCTACTTGCAACCAGCACCCCAGTCTGTCTGTATAGAGCTTTTCAGGTGCAAGGATCCCAAAGTAGTTCACAAGTTACATATGCACATACAATCTTTGGACCATCCACACCACGTCTGTGGTGCAGCCGGCTCTATGGCAGAAGCCAGGTAGACAATGAGAGCACAGTCCACTGCACAACCATGTGAAGAGGGGAGATTTTGGACAAGGGCACTACAGCAGCCCCCTGAATTTATAAAAAATGCTCTGGGATGTTCATGTCCATGCAGAGCATATGTGAGCTCAGGTTTTAAGGATTTACCTGTTCACTGAATGAGGCAGGGGACCTGAGGAAAAAAAGTAATACATGACCATGTAATTAATGATTGTCATAATGCACATGGGGGTTGAACCAAGGTTGCACAGACAACCTTAATTCAGGCATTTCCTAACTTCAGAGTGCTTGATTTTGCAACCTCAAGCGTGTACTTTAAATGTAACAGGTGTAGGGGGTTAATTTGATTATTATTATTGATGTTTATTTTATTGTGACAAACCCTAAGAAGTGCTGAGCACCTTCCCAGAGCCTCTCAGCATTTACTCTGTTCTTAATCATTAATAATAAAGATGGAAGTTAGTTTGGTTTAATATAGCTAGGGGTCTATGCCTAAATAAACCATCATTTGCTTTAAGACAAATCTGACAGCTTGTGACTGGACAGAATATAAAGCATCTTCCCAGTTGTTTATGGGACCAGTCCTGCAAGGTGCTGTGCTCACTCACCTCCCATTGTCTTCAGACTCTGTTCTGTACCTTGTAGGAGGGTGCTCAGCACTTTGCAGGATGAGGTCCTTTGCAAATCAGTCAACCTGTCTCTTGCAAAGCTAAGATGCAGCAGGGCAGAAAGTATATCTCCGTTCACTGAGCAGCGTTTGGAAATATCTCAAAAAGAAAAGGAGTACTTGTGGCACCTTAGAGACTAACCAATTTATTTGAGCATAAGCTTTCGTGAGCTACAGCTCACTTCATCGGATGGTGAGCTGTAGCTCACGAAAGCTTATGTTCAAATAAATTGGTTAGTCTCTAAGGTGCCACAAGTACTCCTTTTCTTTTTGCGAATACAGACTAACACGGCTGTTACTCTGAAAACTGAAATCTAAATAGAGTTTTCATTTAACATTTTGAACAGACAAGAGGAATCTCCATAAACATGTTTGCCAAAGAGCCAATTAAACAGTGATGCATGAAAGATGACAGACTGCCAGAGGTGATGAGAGCTGAAATCTTTGGCAGATTGGAAATATGACTCAATTGAATCTATGAAATTGTCAATACAGCATAAATGTGCATGCTGGTCTGTAAAGTTATAACAGGAGTAATCAGAGGGGAGATCATTTTGTGCTGTATTTCTGTGCGTTTGCAGAACTGGACTCTGTTCTGTATCCACTATCTGTAATTAATGGCAAAATTCCCTTTAAACTTAATGAGAACAGGGTCAAGCTTTTATGTGCATTAATGAATGCTGCATTTGTAAAGAGCTTTACATCCTGGAATCTTAAAGCAATTTGCAAACACTGGTGCCAATTGTTCTGATCAGGGTGTGAAAGATGTTGCCTTACCTGCTGATTTTCTCATGTGATAAGCACCACAACCATAGGTACGGGAACTAGAGGTACGGGGGATGCTTCAGTACCCCCTGGCTCTGCGCCCAGCCCCATAAGCAGGGGCCCACCTCCTGGGTCCACGCCCGGGCTCTGCTCCTGGCTGTGCACACGGGGGCCCGGCTCCTGGCCCCACTCCTGGGGCTCCCCTGCCGCCAGCTCTGCACCTGGGGATCCCGACTGCTGGCCCTAGCCTCGGCCCCCTTACCCCGTCTAGGTTCCCTCCTCCCAGAGACACGGCCCTGCTCCCAGCCCCAGCTCGGGGAATGGTGGGCGGGGGAGAGGGGCTGGCTTTTCAGCTCCACTATTAAAAATGTTCCAGCACCACTGACCACAACTTCCACTGAGGTCAATGGGAACTGTAGGTGCTCAGGATCTTGGCCCCATCTAGTTCCCTCCTCACCTATGACCATGTGTTTAAGTGTTTGCAGGATCAGGGCCTTGAAGTTTTGCAGGGCTTTAGCACTGTTCAAGAACATAGATCTTGTCTACGCTATTTAAGTGGGATCTACAAATGTATTCAAATCAATGGATGTTAGGAGCCTAAATACCTTTTCGGATTTGGGCCTTTCCTACAAATGTAATTGCAGGGACAATTGCAAACACAAGAGGTTTACACCCATGCTCTATACCAGGGTTTGCTCTAGTAGAGCTACATCAGTGTAGCGCCACCGGAGGCTAAAATCCCAATGAAGACATGCCAGAAGCAAAGCCTGGTCTTTTCCTATTGACAATGAAAGACAGTGTCAGGCACTCCTCTGTTGTAAAAGGGTCTTGGCAACACAGTGACTTTTCCTATGTAAATATGACCAAGGGCTTCTTAAAATATGCATCTTGTTCCCTTGAATGTGCTTTTGGATTCATGGATTGCTCTGAGCTTTGTGAGGCAGATTTGTGGCAGGCTCTTCGCAAGTTTCAGCCTCCACACCTTTAACTATGCGCAGAAAACAGCACTGCTTGGGTAGTATTCGGAAATATAGGCCTCTCAAGATGTATTTTGCCAAAACTTTTACACCAAATCCTGTTCTGTATACTTACATACTTGATTATCCATGTTAAACAAGGCAAACAGTGGCTTATCTTCCATTGTGTTATACAAATGTCCCTTAGCAATTTGTAGCAATTACACTAAAGAGCCCTCTGGAAGCTGGCAGTAGATGTGCTTTCCTTCTGCTTGTGAAATTTAATTTCTCACTTGTCATCATGCATTGTTTTTGCTCATTCCCCAGCTGCCCCCCTCTGACACCTCAGCTCATCTGCCTGCCCCTAAGGGAATGGATCTTTGGTACCAGGCTAGCCCTGTGCTTGCTGCATCCCACGCTCTTAAGTGTTGGCTAATTGTGCCCTTGTTCGGGACAGTGGCTAATCAAGTGTTTGAGATGTGCCGTCTCCAGCAGGAACCAGAGGCTCTTCCCTGCTGGAGTTTAGGATGGGTAATGAGGGGGTGGGATAGATAGGCCAGGAGGAGCTGAGAAAGGTTTCAAATTGAGTGGTTCCTTGTTTGTTGTTGGAAGGGAGGGGGAGAGAGAATTGGAGGCAGGTCACTGGACAGGGGATAAAACCTCCTGAGCCCTGAGCTGAGCAGAGCTTTACACCAGGGCCAGTGGGAAGGCAGTAGAAACAGCTCACAGACTGGCAAGAGGAGGAGGTGGCAGCCATACATCCTGGTGGGCTGATTGCAGGTGCAGAGGTACCCTGGTGGCTAATAGAATCGGGAGGGAGCCTGGTCTGAGCTGCTAGGGGGTGCCCTAAGCGACTGGGGAGTTCAGAGCACGTGGACTAACCAAGTGACAGGCTAGGGGGGTCTCCAGTCTGAGCCCTGTGAAGGAGGGGGGCGAAAGGCAGGAACGCCGAAGGTGTCTGTGCCATGGAGAGGGGGCCATTGTGTGTCCTGGTGCTGCTGCTGACTCCGGGGGGCACCTCTGGGCAGGATGGAGAGTACTGCCATGGCTGGGCGGACAGCTCACAGCTCAGGCACAGGGGCTTTCGGTGCCCGGAGCACTATGACAGCCCAGAGGCTACTCTGTGCTGTGGCAACTGCAACCTGCGGTACTGCTGCTCAACCAGAGAGGCCCGGCTGGACCAAGGCTTGTGTCCTAGTGACCATCACCAGACCAGTCCCAAGCCTCCATCAGGTAACAGGCTCCTTCTGCACCTGCAGGATATGGGGTGGACTTCATCAGAGACCTGGGTTCTGCTGTGCACTGTAGGGGGCTGGGGTGATTTTAGATCCATCACCCCAAAACTCTCCCTTTACAGTTCCACATCTTACCCAACCAGCCCATGCCTCCCTCTGCAGCTCCACATCTAATCCCCCCATTCACCACCTTCAAAGCTCCAGCTGCTAAACTCAAGCCTGCTCCCCCTTTAGAGCTCTAGACATCTTGACCCACAGTGGGACCCTGTTTGAAGGGGAGTGAGTAAAGAAGAGTATTTCTGGGCTCCCCTCCCCTATTGTTTTAAAATGGAAGTCTAGTTCCCTTGTAGAATGCAAAGTGGCCCATAGCTGGTATTGGCAGAAAACTGCCTCGGCATTAGGCTATGCTAATTAAGGGCTGGTCCATTCATGGAGTTATTCCTGGTTAACTGCTCCTGACTAACTCTAAACTCTGTGTGCGGACACACTTATTCTGGAATGAGTGCCTTGTTTCTGTTCAGATTAACCCAAACTCCCTGGAATCATTCAGGAATAGCCATTGCACTTTAAATTCAGACCCTGCTTTAATCAGAAACACCTTCCAACTGCAGACAAGCCCTAAGGTACTGTCGGGGAAGGAGAAGGGAAATGGGTGATCTATCAGCAGAGCTGAGTGTGATGTAACCAGGATGCCTTAGACTAAATTCTAGTGATGCAGGCCAGAGCCAATGGACGATGTGGGGTGGAAACCAGGCTTCAGCTGAGGTTCTTCTTATTTAGCATTTGGGGGCTTAATGTAAATGCGAAGGACTGATCAGGCACCATTGAGCCACAGCTCTAGGATTTATGTTCCAAGGTGAAGAAAGCATAATGTGGGCTGCTGTGACTGCTAATGTGCTGGGTGCTCAGAGGCCTCTGGTTCCTTACAAGTTTCCTAAAATGGTGAATTTTGAGTTTGTAAAAATTGGGATTGCAAGATCTAGAGCTGCTTAGCGACCATATCTAGACTCCTGTCCTGTAAAGGTAGGTTCTACACGGCATTCATCACTAATTCTATAAAGTAAACAAGTTATGGGCTCAATTCTCTGGTCCTTTGCATCTTGTATTGTCGCTTGTACCTGAAAACAATAGGTGCGAAATGCTACCAGATCAGAATACTAGACTCAAAAGCACTCTGCATAGGTGTAAATGACTATCATAATTTGGAAAGGTAATGGAGCCCACGTCTAACCGTCTACCTGGGCTTAGTCCAAGACTTCATTCTAGTTTCTCATTGGGAAGAGTCCATCTTGGTCTGCTATTCATTTGGAGAGTTAATGGGTAGGGTGCAAGACTTTGTGGTGATGCTTTAAAGGTTTAGTGAAACTGCTCGGTATGAGACATGATATAGCTAGGGAAACATCTGTAAATGATGACCTTAGTAAATACTAAATGACTGACTTATCTCTCTGTATTCTCCATTTCCAGTGCCCATGTACTTACCTTTCCTCCTTGTTGGGTCCATATTTGTGGCTTTCGTTGTCATTGGGGCCTTCATTGGTATTTGCTGCTGTAGATGCCTGAAATCCCAGGATGAAGAGCAGCAACATGGGCCTGCACCAGTCCAGAGTCGGCTGCTGGAAGCTGCTGCTCCTCCTTGGTTCTCCAGTTCCAGCTCCAGTTCAGCCACCAGATGCTCCTTGGGTAGTCTTCCTCAGACTAGTAACATCTGCCTGAGCATGGCTCCACCTTTTCCCATCATAGGTTCCTCTCAAGGAGCCCAGTTCTTGCCTCCTACATTAACCAATGGACCCCTTTTGCAGCCTGCATGTACTAATTACGGAATACCAGCTGATCATACTATCATAACAACTCCAGCATCTTTCCTTAATAGAGCAGTCTATGGACAAACTTCTTACTATAATTTTCCTGTAAGTGCCATGCATGGTGACCAAACAATGTACTCAGGCATTCATGTCTAAGATGACCTGTAACTGCAGAACTCCATATTGTAAAAATGTAAGGTGCTTTTTGGACAAAGTTAACAAACAGGAAGTAATACAAACTTCTGAAATCATTAGCATGTGTGAAATGAGAATCCGGTCTTGATATCTATTTGGGAAAAATAGGTCTCATTTTAATTGTTTAACCAGCTAATTTAGTACGTACTGTACTACCTTGGGGCTCAGGTTCAGTCTCCATGGTTCATTCATTTCTTGGCATGTTTTCTCATGGCAGGGCTAATCTTGGTGGGGGTTTTAACTGTGGACAGCTGCCCACTGGGAACTGGAGCAATATTGCCATATTCCTTCTTATAGGCAGTGAACAGCCAGCAGATCTTGGCACTCCTGGCCAATTACTAGCTTAGGTTGAATTTGAACCCAGCTACCTAAAGGTTTTTCTTGTCCATTACCAAATGCCTTAGCCATTCCGCAATCCTAATAAGACTAATTTTGCATTATATTTTAAATGGCTTGTAGAGTACTTTCTCTGCTTAAAAACTAGTGGTTTTAACTTAAAGGGACATTGTCAAATCATGTCTTTGCCTGAATTTTTATCTACATCTGACTGTTACAAAACAAGCTTATTCTAAGCAAAAGGGATCAGAGGGGATAATGGAAAGTCTTGTTTTTCTCTCTTACTGTGACTATACTGTGCATTTATTAGCATCATGCATAGTCAGTTTCACTGTTGTTTGTGTGGGCCCATACTGACAGGGAACAAAATAACATTCAGAAAATGTGAATGACTGTAAAAGCAAAAGTTGGCAGAGGGACTAGGGGGCAGGTGGAGTATCTGAAACTACTTTTTACCTTTTTTTCCCCCCAAATTGCCTGGATGTCAAGTTGATGGTGACTCTAAGACTGAACATGCTGCTGACGAGGTGCCAGTTAAGTGCTGCTACAGGAGCAGCTTTTAGGCCAAAACTTTTTGTAAAACGTACTTTGTATCTGTGCAGATTATTGGAGAAAATAACTTTGCGATGGCGTATTTGTTGCTCCCTGTCTTGTAGTGGTTTAGTGTAGCTCTCGCTATGCAACATCGACAAAAAGAGACCTGCGGACTGATTACAAGACATCATGAAAAGGCTTTTTTATAACTGGGTGGGGAAAAGGAGTGAAACGTGGCGAGAACCGCCACCTGTATAACACTACTTCCTTTTTCTTTAGCTTCTCCTAGAGAAGAAAATCCTATCTATTTTGACTTAAAACACTGTTTACACTCTCAACAAGGAATTATCTTCAGATGTGCATTGCCTAATTGCAGCCATCCTTCACAGCAGGAGTTAACAGCAGGATGCTAATGTGAAGAGGTTGACAAAATATGGTGATCCCGGCTGCTGGAGTGTCGAACACTTCCTTTGGTCAAAGAAACCAGAGAATAATTACACCAGAGGCACATTAAAATAACTCCACAGACATTGCCAGTAGGAGCAGGTGCCAAGGATTAAAGTTGTGTGTGTAAAAGAACAAGAACTTAATCTTCAGCTGATTGGTCAGGATCTTAAAATCTGCATAATAAAGAGGCTTTGATGACTTCCCTGGGAAGCAGATGGGGCTAAATAATCCATTCGGTAAACATAAAATCCATCAGAATATTTGTATTCTTATTGTATTGATGTGGAGGCATCTCACATCTAATGCTATTGTGTAATGTGTCCCATCATATAGATGCTAAAAAGGGCACACATTTCTTAGTATCCTGGCTTGTAGTAGGGGAAGCAATGCACCCTGGTAAAATAATAGGCTCAATTTTCTGCTCATTTGCACTGGTGTAAATCAAGAGTATTTCCATTAAAATTAATGGATTTACAGTAGTGTAAGAGAAGGGGAAATTGGTCCCAATATATCAAAGTTTGCTGTCAGGGATGTAACTTTGGGCCAATCTGTGCTGCACAGGGAAAGAAGTAATACATATTTACGTGACATGAAGCATTTTGAATTTATTCAAAATTAGTTATCTGATTTTTTTTTAAGTGAGGATGAAGACGGGAGACCACCAATGTAAAGTACCAACCAAAGCTTAACTGCGCTGAGGGAGACTGAGCCTAGTTTGTCATGTCACTCAATGCCCTGTCACTGAAAGTAATTGAGGACCTATTTATACTATGGATTGGATTTCACAGCACCCAGAGCTGGTGTGATAAGAATGGTAACAGGTAGCTGTGCATTTGCTTTAACTAAATGCCTATTTGTAGAGGAACTGTTGTCTAAGGTCCCACATTTTGGTGAATTTCATGTCCTTTTTCTTAATAAAAAGATCAGATAAGGACTAACACCCATGAGGACAGAACCTAAATCCAGTTATTTATGGAGTATTTCTGCCCTGTTCCTTCCTGTTTAGAGATACAAAGGTACGTTGCAATGAAAATGGATGTTACAGCTCTAGTTTTAGGGTCCAGATCCATTTTGTGAAGTGTTAACAGAATGCATAGCTTACAGGGGTGTTAAACAGCACCTAATTGGCAGCAAGCATTGCTACCAGTCACTGCAAGGGAGCATAGATTGTATTTACCTTTCTAATTTGATCAAGTGTGTACATGCCAGACATTTGTTTTAAGCTGGTGATATTATATACCCTGCCTCCTTCGATTATAACTTAATTTTAGTCAATTAGTATTGCTAACCCTCAAACATTTAAAAATATGAGTCAGTCCCATCACAAGATTGATTTAAAGATCATGAGACTTTAAAAAAAATAAAGTGGGTTCTCTATTTGCCTGCCGACTCTTGAGCTTTCAGGGTACGGGTGGTTCATGTTTTCAAGATTTAGTTCAAAAAGCACGAGGGCTAGACATTTTTTCTTTTTACTGAAAGCTGAGATTCCACTGTGATCACTTGACTCCAGAAACTGAGGCTTTAAGAAAAACAATGAATATTGGAAGATGTACAACACAGGTGTATGTTCTCAATTATAATATTGCCCTGAAACAACAAACCTTGTTTCTGAAGGCAGTTCCCAATAGCAAATGATCTCTCTAAGAAGAGAGGGACAAGAGTCTTGGATGATTTGATTTCTGTTCCTAGCTCTGCCACAAACTTGGTCAAGTTTTTCATTTGCAAAGTGAGGATAGTCCCTCCTTCAAAGGTCTGGGATGAGGCTTCATGCACTAATATTCATGAAGTGCTTTGCCATCATTGGGATGATGCTGGGAGTGCAACCTACAGTAGAAGTTATTAAAAAAATTAAGTAAACGTCTTATTTTTTCACTATCAACTTAAAAATGTTGCTGCTGTATTTTCCCCCGCAAGTTTGCTTCTGCAGTTTCATAACTTTCACATATTTCCAGGACATCCTTTGTGTTAACAAGTTTGAGGTCAGTCTGGAAATGAGAACAAAAGAGACTAAAAATGAAAGACCCTTTGAAGACACTGGAAACTAACGGAAATCAAAGTTCGCCACACTTTCAGCGACACAAAAAAGGTTTAACAGCAGTTTTTTGGTCTTTGGAGGCTGGAAAAAAATCAAAGCATGCAGGGAAGCCAAGAAAGCAAAAACAAATGCTGATCCAAGTGTGAACATGCAAAAGTGATTTAAATTGTACGTCAACACTATTTAGGTTGACTTAATGTTGTAGCATGGACTTGCCCTTAGTATTTGTTATGTATAAATCACTTTGCAAACATTACCTAATTAATCCTCATTTAGGATTACCAAGGCAGCAGGTAAGTGTCACTATCAGCTTCACAGATAGGGAAACTGAGGCACAGAGCATCAAAGTGATTTACCCAAGAATATTTACCCAAATAATCACTGTTGGAGCTGGGATTAGAAGTCAGGAGTGTCTGACTCCTGACTACAATGCTTCCTCCATAATGATGGGGTATCATTATTTCTACATTATGGAGCCTATGTTGATGCAGAATGAGGTTTTCTGTCAGCGTAGGAATACTGCCTCTCTGAATAATGTCAGCTACATTGATAGCAGCGCTCTTCCATTGACGTAGCGGCATCTACCCTGGGGATTTTGGCATAGCTACGTTAGTCATAGTTGTGGTTGTCTCACTGCCCTGACCAATGCAGGGATACCAATATAACTTTTTAAGGTTAGACCAAGTCTTACAGACATCTAATGCGACTCCAGTGTTCAGTGTCATTTACTAGTACTGAGCAGAAAATGCTAGGAAGAGGAAAGACGATAACCAAATAGGAAGGAAAAAATAGATAACAAGCAGAAAATAAAATGCTTTGTACGTTCTTGAAAAGGCCCCATGAATAGTAATCAGCCGGACACATATTTGTTGGTCAGCATAGTTAGTGCAACACAGCAGAGGCAAATGCTTGGTTTGAACAAATTGATCGCTTCTAATAGTTCTATTTAAAAAATAACACCCCAGGAGAGAGAACAAGGGAAGCAAATGTCATTTCTTTTTCTCTGAAGACTGAGGAGATGCAGTGGTGCTGGAACTAGGGGTGCTGGAGGTGCTGCCATAACAACAACAATGTATATATGGTTTCCATCATCTGCACCCCCACTATAAAAATTGTTCCAGCACCCTGAGGAGATGTATTTTCCAAGAGACAAGGCGGGCAGGATAATATCTTTTATTGGATTAGCTTCTGTTGGTGAAAGAGTCAAGCTTTTGAGGTACCCTGAGAGCTCTTCGGGTCCGGGAAAGGGACTCAGAGTGTAAGTCTACACTGCAATAAAAAACCCGTGGCAACGAGTCACAGAGCCCAGGTCAGCTGACTCAAGTGCATGGTGCTTGGGATGTGGGGCTATAAAATTGCAGTATAGATATTCTGGTCTGCGCTACACTACAATCCAGTATCTGTATAACGACGTCGCTCATGGGGTGTGAAAAATCCATACCCTTGAGCGACGTAGTTATACCAACCTAACCCCGCCGTGTATACAGCGCTGTCGGTGGGAGAGCTTCTCCTGTCGACATAACTACTGCATCTTGGGGAGGTGGATTAACTACACAGCCGGTAAAGCTCTCTCCCATCGGCGTAGGGTGTCTTCATTAAAGCACTACAGCAGCACAGCTTGGGGCAGGTGCACCAATGCAGCATTTTAAGTGTAGACTTGCCCTTGGCCTGGAGCCCAGGCTTTGAAACTCCTCAGGGTCCAGGCAGAGCCTGAATGGCTACACTACAGTTTTATAGCCCCACAGCCTGTGAGCCCAAGTCAGCTGACCTAGCCCAGCTGCAGCCGCCCCTGTGGACTTTTATTGCAGTGTAAACATACCCAATGTGTGGAACAGACTATTTAGCATGAGTAGTTAACACATATGTTAAGGGACCATTCAAGGTGAAGTGCCCATTAACACCTCTGCAGTGATGGGGGCGGGGGACAAAAGAACCTGCTTCAATATAGAAAATAAAACCTCCCTTACCGCACACCCCTAGTTGTCATCTATCACGCCACACCGGAACCTATATAGGGTATCATTAAACAATTGCAACCCATACTTGAAAGAAATCTTTCCCGGACCTCCTCTTCTGGCCTTCAAACAACATCCTAAACTCACCAAGCTCATCATCTGAAGCAAACTCCCCACAGATCAGGACCCACCAACTCAAAGCAGCACCAGGCCCTGCCATAACAACAGATGCAAAACTTGCAGACATAGCTCCATTGCTACAATGATCAGCACCCCCCACAACACACCTTTCATGATCCATGAGTCATACACATGCCAATCACGACATGTGGTGTGCTACGTGCTCCAATAACAACTATGTGGGTGAAACCAGACAATCACTACGCTCTCGAATGAAGTCGCACAGAAAAATTATAAAAGACAAAAACACTGTATCGCTCTTGGGTGAACACTTTTCACAAAAGATCACTCCATATCTGACCTTTCAGACCTCATCCTCAAAGGAAACCTGCACATCACCTTCAAAAGACGAGCCTGAGCTTAAATTCATAACTTTGCTAGACACTAAAAGAAATGGTCTTAATAAAGACACTGGATGGCTTTATTACAACATTCTATAACCCACTAGTCCCTCCACCCACCCCTACTTTGGCCTATGACTGCAAGAGTGTTAACCAGCCACTTCACCTTAAATTGTCCCATAGACTACGTGTTAACTATTTATGCTAAACAATCTGTTTCACAGTGTAATTAGCTGTGACTCTACTGAAGAAAAGCTTTCTGGAGCTCAGAAGCTTGCCTCTTTCACTAACAGGAGTTGGTCCAATAAAAGATATTACCTCACCCACCTTGTCTCGCTAATACCCTGGGATCAACACTGATACCACAACATTTTCCTAGAGACAATTTACTTTTAAAAATCCTCCACCAAGCAGCCTTGTAAACTGTGGCATGGTTCTGTGACCCAATTAGCATTTGCATTAAAAATGGATCAAATCATGAGGCTTGGAGAAAGAAACATAAGTGTCTTTTGTGGAGATTCCACCCCTTACTAATTTTGGAAGTCTTGCTGTTCGGCTTAGCATATCCTTAGAAAGCTGGGATATCTAATTGTCTATTTGCCACCTATCGCTCCAAAGTGCTTTCTATTGTTTGACTAATGATAACTCCACCCCTTCCCCCAAATTCTAGTTTAGAATCAATTTAGGGTATGTCTACACTTACATTTTATCGCGCTTTAACTTGCTGGCTCAGGGGTGTGAAAAATCACCCCCCTGAGCGCAGTAAGTCTGAGCGCTTTAAAGGGCTAGTATGGACAGGCTCCGAGCACTGGGAGCAGCGCTAAGAGCAGTGCTCAGAGCTAATCCCCTTGTGGAGGTGGATTACCAGGAGCGCTAGGAGATCTCTCTCCCAGCGCTCGTGCACGAACACTCTCGCACTTCAAAGCCCTTTGAAGTTTCCAGTGTAGACATACTTACACTATTTCCACCTTAATCTTCACTGATTACATGGGTGGCTTTTCTTGTTGGATTCTTTCTAAACACAAGAATTGAACTGAGCTAATAAAGAATAGAGCCTTATCTCCCAAACCCTTATACCAGTGGGTCTTAGGGTAGAACCCCTACATTTAAGTATAGGCCTTGTCTACACACACAATTGCACTGCTTTAGTTAAACCAGCTTAGTTAAACTGGTGCAACCCCCTGTGTGGACATTTATTTCAGTTGAAGAGGCTTATTTTGATTTATCTAAACTGACAGAAGATAAAGAACAATAAGCCTGGGTTAAACCAAAATAAGAGTGTCCACTTGCTTGTCTACACTTGAATGCTACACTTCAGTGTAGACACTACCTATGCTAAGAGGACGGGGTTTGACAATCAGCACAGAGTAATCCACCTCTCTGAGGCCTCACTCAGTGGTGTGGATTTTTTACTCCCCTGAGCGATGTAGCTGGGTTGACCTAACTTTTTAGCGTAGACCAAGCCTCAGCTTTTTGCACCAGTTTCACTAAATTGGTATAAAAATAAACCATTATCTTAAACCAGTGCAATTATGTGTGGGGCCAAGTAAATCCATAGCGTATAACTAACTCGTTCCTTTTGTGTATTCGATCATGGTACAGAAACAATGCAGGGCACTAACCAATCAATTCTTTATTAATAAAACCTATAATAATATTAATGTTCACTTTCATTCCTATAATCCAAAGGTTTCACAATGCTTCCAAACCCCACCACCCCCTTGTGTGGGAGGTAAGTATTATCAACATTTTGCAGCTGGAGAAACTGAGTCCCAGAGAGGTTAAGTAACTCTCCCAAGAC